CCTCCAGAGCAGGAGAAAACAAGCTTGCTCCTTCTTCCATGTAACAGCCCTTGAGGTATTTCAAGATGGCTACTTAATGAATGCAGCATGAAATCGTGGTTTGCGTGTCTGAATGGTTCACTCCAGCCAGTCCTTCTCTCCCAAAATATGCAGTGATGCACCCCTTCCAATTGTCCATTCCCATATTTAAATTAAATTCATCAAGTGCACATTAGCCAAGGGCACAGAAAGTATGTTTGTGTGCATATACTAAGCCACAGCTGTGCTTTTAACTGGGAACTGAGCTTTTAAAAAAATGTTATATAAAGGAAATGGATTGCAGCAAAACTGCTCAAATGTTGCAAAAATATTTTTAGGGTAAACAAGACGTGCCTCCTAGGAGAATAATATCCACTATACCGGCTAAAGGTTTGCTTTAGAACCATCATTCAAAAGTAAAGCAGACATGGCAGGTCACTTAAGAACTTTCAATTCACAAACAAAGGAGGAGCAGAAGAAAAGCCTGCTACTCTCTGTAGGTTAGCAATCCTCTTGGCATAAACAGTGACTAACAAGTTTGTTAGAGAGAATTAGATCTTTCTTTTGTCTTTGGAACATGTCATGGCCAATTAAAACTTCTGTATTCACAAAATAAATGGAGCACCAGTCTAAAGATAATAGAAGCTGAAAAAAGTAAAATTGTGCAGCTGGGGAATATGTACCTTTACCTTGATATTAATCTATCAGCTCCCATGTTAGTTCCAAGGCTAGTCCCTCAGCACAGTGGTACTGCATACATTTGCTACTTCCTTTAAGTAACATGCAATGGTAACACATAGAGGCTTTTCATCTTTTTCTAAATATTCACTCATTTGAATGTCAATTGTAGCTTTTACATCAACATTTACTTTTGAGGGAGTTTTTTGTTTTGTTTCTAATAATAAACTGATCAAAGCACTCAGCGTTAAACCTTATAACATGATTAGATATATGAATTACAACCACTGAATATAAGATTTACACACACTGAAAACAAGGGTGATTTAAATATCTTTTTTTTTTTTTTTTGGTGATCCAGAATTTAGGAAACTCACAATGCAACAAATGAGAGAGAGAGAGATAGAGAGAGAGAGAGAGAGGAGTTACAAAAGTTCATTGCTACCAAGCAAAGTATGCAGAATTCACTCTAGATTCAGGTGTCGATTGTGAGGTTAACTGACACAACACTGACTAAATGTCCAGATTACAGTTAAAATTAAGCCAGAGCCGGCAGTGTATCTCCAGTCCCTCAGAGGAATGCTGCAGTCCCTCCAAGTGCCCCAGTTTTCCAGGAACAGCGGACATAAGCCTGTAAATAAGCCACACCTTTAAAAATCAATAGGAAAAATAGATATTCCACTACACTTCCGGACTGCCTCCGGGGGGGGGGGGGAGAGAGCCACACCACTTTGCTGGCAGCCTTCCCCCTTCTTTCCGGCGGCTCAGGGGAGGCTTGGGAGCGGTGGGTGGCCTGTGCTCCCGGCGGGGCTCCCCACCCCCTGCATAGAGAAGTTTGTTAATGTTTAATGTTTTATGATGTTTTTATATATGTTGGAAGCAACCCAGAGTGGCTGCGGCAAGCCAGTCCGATGGGCAGGGTATAGAGAGTAAAATTGTTGTTGAATAGGACAACCCTATTTTCACTGGAGTAATGTAAAGCCATGGTTTTTCGAGTAGTGATGCATGGAAGTGAGAACTGGACCATAAAGAAGGCTGATCGCTGAAGAATTGATGCTTTTGAATTCTGGTGCTGGAGGAGACTCTTGAGAGTCCCGTGGACTGCAAGAAGATCAAACCTACCCATTCTGAAGGAAATCAGCCCTGAGTGCTCACTGGAAGGACAGATCATGAAGCTGAGGCTCATGAGAAGAGAAGACTCCCTGGAAAAGACCCTGATGTTGGGAAAGATGGAGGGCACAAGGAGAAGGGGACGACAGAGGATGAGATGGTTGGACTTTGGCCACCTCATGAGAAGAGAAGACTGCCTGGAAAAGACCCTGATGTTGGGAAAGATGGAGGGCACAAGGAGAAGGGGACGACAGAGGACGAGATGGTTGGACAGTGTTCTCAAAGCTACCAACATGAGTTTGACCAAACTGCGGGAGGCAGTGGAAGACAGGAGGGCCTGGCGTGCTCTGGTCCATGGGGTCACAAAGAGTCAGACACGACGAAACGACTAAACAACAACAACAACAAATGTTGGAGGTTATGGTGCCCCCATTCCATGCCCCAGCCAGTCTGGAAATGGAATCTCAGAATACTATAAATAATAATAACAATAATTTTATTATTGCCCCTGGCTTGCCCCAGCCACTCTGGGTTTGGAGTGTTCAAAGTTTTGGGCTGCGCACATCCACAGGGATGTTGCTTTCCCCCAACAAGGGATTCTGCTTCTGCACTCTAAGCTAGAGGGTCAAAATGTGCCAACACAGAAAAAGAAGAAAGATAATGGCAAGTATTTATGGGAGGCAATGTGACCCCTTTGATTGCTTTAAAAGAGGACTAGACACATTCAAGGCTATTGATTACTACTAGCTACAATGGCTATGTTCTACCTCCACTGCCAGAGGCATAATAATAATAATAATAATAATAATAATAATAATAATAATTTATTATTTATACCCCGCCCATCTGGCTGGGTTTCCCCAGCCACTCTGGGCAGCTTCCAACACAGTATTAAAATACAGTAACGCATCAAACATTAAAAGCTTCCCTAAACAGGGCTGCCTTCAGATGTCGTCTAAAAGTCTGGTAGTTGGTGTTCTCTTTAACGTCTGGTAGGAGGGCGTTCCACAGGGCGGGCGCCACTACCGAGAAGGCCCTCTGCCTGGTTCCCTGTAACTTGGCTTTTCGCAGTGAGAGAACTGCCAGAAGGCCCTCGGCGCTGGGCCTCAGCGTCAGGGTAGAACAATGGGGGTGGAGACGCTCCTTCAGATATACTGGACCGAGGCCGTTTAGGGCTTTAAAGGTCAGCACCAACACTTTGAATTGTGCTCGGAAACGTACTGGAAGCCAATGTAGGTCTTTCAGGACCAGTGTTATCATGGGAAAAGCAGGAGGCGAGAGTGCTGTCGCACACATGTCCTGCTTGCAGGCTGCCCACAGATACCCGGTCAACCAGTGTGAGAACAGGATGCTGGACTAGATGGACCACTGGCCTGATTCAGCAGACTTGTCTAACGTTCTTATGGTTGGAAACCAAATTTCCTTAACAGCTATGCAAACAGTGCAATTTGAAGTTAAATTCAACTGATGCAGTAGGGCACACATTAGAGCCAATGCCTTTATGACTTAATTATGGTAGAGTGCCATTTTAGGAGAACTGTGACTCATTTCTTACTTATTGAAGAGCTTCACAACAAAGAAAGCACTTGAAGCAATGTATATCTGAAGTGACTGACATAACTGACACAGACAAGTTGCTAGATGCAAGAGGGACAACTGCCATAGATATGGTTTGATAGGCCATTTCTTATATCCATGTATGTGATCCTCATGATTAAAAAGGGAGAAGCTGAAAAATTCTTACAACAGCAAACCTCTGCGTAAGTAAACTGAGGGAAATTTATTACATTTCTTCCAAAAAGCTCAGGGCAGTTGTTTAGCCTTGTGACCTCCCTGGCAATTCTGACATCATACCAAGCTATAGTTATCACCAATTGTGGTTTTTGGATTCTGGTTTCGCCAGCCAGGGTTTTAAGAAGCTTAAGTATCTTTTCAAGTAATTTGTGAATTGACAAACCACAGTTTGCATTTGGCTGGCAAACCAGCATCAGAGGCCATGATTTTAATAGTGTTTGAGAATACAGTTTGGTGTGATGTCTGAATTAACACATCATAATTATACAGCCATCGCTCTGTTTCCCACTGCAACTGTACCATGGGGCCTAGAATGAACTTATGAAGCTGAGCGTTGTGAGGACAGAAAAGAAAAGCACAGAAACAGATCTAAAACTATGGTTTGGGTTATAAACTATAATTAGCACGACATATGGTTTGTTTGACATTATGGCTGAAATAAGCCTACCTTCTCTTTCTTGTTGCAGGCATATATTCAGTTCTTGTATTGTAGCTTTATCCCTAGATGTATACACTCTCATCTGATCCAATTCTTCCTCTAAATTCAGTCTAGAAAAACACACACAAGAACTGAGCGCACAGCAGAAAGAATGTGGGGTGAGTGAGTCAAGGAGACATACCCTACAAAAACGTGCTGAATAAAACATGTCACTTCAAATACTGAAAACTTTTATACTGAATTTCAGGAAACACATATCAGCACTAGTGTTACCTGTATTTACGTGAATCTAATGTACCATTGAATCAAATGCGTACCTCAATTTTCAAATCTTTGAAATCAAAGAAGTATTTGCTGGCAAAGGTAAATGTACCGTCAAATCTAATGTGCACCATAATTTCCACGACATAATTTGGCCAAAAAAGGTGCACATTACATTTGAGTAAATATGGTAACTTTTAACACTAGTATGTTATGAGCAGTCCTGCTCCAGCACAGTACAATCAGCAAGAAAATCTATTGTTCCATTTCTAGTCTCTTTAATTGAAAACATGTACATACATCCACTCTCACGTTTAGCTACAATGCCAACTTTTGGGGAAATCAGTAATCAAATCACAACCACGTAAGAAAAGAAGAGATTTGTAAAATAGAAAGCATTGTCACAACGGTCTGTATTTGATTTGATTTTCTTGAAATGCAATATACTCTCTTATTATGATGTTATGCTTTCAAGTTTGAGTATTTGCCCATTGACAGATTTCACAGCAAATGAAAAAATTAACTAGACGGTACTGACGCTGGTACTCTCAAGCTCTGCCAGTGAACAGCACAGCCCTTATAAATGCAGATCTCTTTTTCTTTCCTGTGTGTGCTGGTTTCTGCTTCCATTGTAAGTAATCAGATTTTCAGCTAGAAATAGCTTCCTCCTATGATGAGTCAAAGTCCCATCAAGTCATCTGTCCAGCAGCAGATAGCTCAGTTGGTAGTAGAGCACGAGACTCTTAATCCCAGGGTTGTGGGTTCGAGCCTCGTGTTGGGTGAAAGATTCCTGCATTGCACGGGGTTGGACTAGAAGATCTCTGTGGTCCCTTCCAACTCTACAGTTCTATGATTCTATATGAGAAGAACTGTGCGGCAGGAGCAGCCCTGTCCTCTCAGCCTAGAAACCTCTTCTTCCCGAAAAATAGCAGTGCATTACACTAAAACTATTTTAATTATATCCCTTGCATTTGAAGAATATTACCAACCAGCATTTAGCTAAATTAAACCAGGACACAGAAAACTGGGGGGGGGGGGGGGACTAAAAATTCCAGCCTAAAAAAATTACAAATAAGTAGGAAACAGAATAATTGTCTTTATGAAGACATCATAATGATTACAGATTAACCAATTATCATGACCTTAGGCAACGTACCGGGATACATGCAATAACCAGAGGCATTTATGTAAAATCTTATACACAAAGCACCTGAAGCACATAAGCAATTCCAGGAGGATACATCAGAAAACTTTTTAGATCACTCCTCACAACTTCTCTATGATCCGTCCTTATGCAATAGATTTTATTTAGGAAATGTATTTTCATTTTGCATTGTCTTGGATCAGGTGACAACTCTGAGGATCAATGTACACTATATTCTGTAAGCAGTGCTATTTCTCTAGAAAAAGAGGTGCTGGAGCTCACCATGAACATCTCCCTCATTCTCTTAGAATGGCAATGGGGCCCACCTGAGAGGTGCCAGAACTGAGCTCCTGTAGTCTCTGGCTGAAAAAAAGCCCTGTCTGTAAGATATTTTACTACACGTAATTGCTGACCCTTTAGATGAAGGCGAGTACATAAATTTTCAAACAACCATTCAGACAAAATCCTACAGATATAATCATCAAAATCCTACAGATATATTCATCAGAGAGCTAGGATTGGCTGTACTTCTCATTTAAGAATACATTTAGTGGTAAATTCATTTCCCCCTGCATTTTGTGTGAAACAACCCTTCAGTGAGGAGGGTTTGACTTCCACCAAAATAAAAATCTTCAGTCCTGCGAAACACGATAATTGAAGCTTTGCAGCCACCCATTTTTGCCTGAAAAACGTTGTAAAAATCAGGATTCAAGATGACATTAACAGATTGGAAAACAGGGCTAAATCTTAATAAAATTAATCTCTATAGGGACAAATGTAAGGTTCTGCACTTAAGCAGGAAAAGCACCTGCACAAATATAGGATGGGGGACACCTGGACTGCCAGTAGTACCAATGATAAGGGATTTTAGTAGACTACAAGTTTACATGAGTCAGGAGTGTGATGCAGCAGCAAAAAAAGCTAATCCTATTCTAGGCTGCATCAACATGAGTATAGTGTTTCAATCAAGGGAAGTAATAGTACTGCTCTGCTCTGCCTTGGTCAGACCATAACTGGAATAATGTGTCCAATTCTGCACACTGCAATTTAAGAAGGTTATTGGCAAGCTGAAAATGTGTGCAAAGGTGGGTGACCAAGATGATCAAGGGTCTGGAAACCAAGCCTTATGAGGTACAATTGAGGGAACTGAGTATTTTTAGCCTGGTAAAGAGAAGACTGAGAGGAGATATGATTTTGTTTAGTCGTTTAGTCATGTCCGACTCTTTGTGACCCCATGGACCAGAGCACGCCAGGCACTCCTGTCTTCCACTGCCTCCCACAGTTTGGTCAAACTGATGCTGGTAGCTTCAAGAACACTGTCCAGCCATCTTGTCCTCTGTCGTCCCCTTCTCCTTGTGCCCTCCATCATTCCCAACATCAGGGTCTTTTCCAGGGAGTCTTCTCTTCTCATGAGGTGGCCAAAGTCTTGGAGCCTCAGCTTCAGGATCTGTCCTTCCAGTGAACACTCAGGGCTTATTTACTTCAGAATGGATAGGTTTGATCTTCTTGCAGTCCATGGGACTCTGAAGAGTCTCCTCCAGCACCATAATTCAAAAGCATCAAGGCTGTCCTATGAACGATGGAGCAAGCTTGTTTTCTCCTGCTCCAGAGGCTAGGACCCAAACTAAAGGATTCAAGTTACAAGAAAGGAGATTTTGACTAAATACCAGGAAGAACTTTCTGACAGCAAGAGCTGTTCGACAGTGGAAAAGATTCCCATGAGAGGTGGTGGACTCTCCTTCCTTGGAGGTTTTTAAGCAAAGATTTGGTGATCTGTCATGGGTACTTTAGCTGAGATTTAGCTGCATTGCAGAGGATTGAACTAGATGACTCTTGGGGTCCCTTACAACGCTACAATTCTATGAGTCCTTGATTTTCATTAAAAATCTTAATGGATTTTCAAATATATAGTTATGTAATGTTTGGCAGAAGAAAAGTCCAAAGAGGTGTGCTGTAATTAAAATGGCATTCCATGCATATTTGCCCAGCTTGCCAAAATATGGAAAACAGCTGTAGTTAGAAGAGTGACACCCCAAGTCAGAATTGCAAAAAGGGAAGATGGAAAAATCTACTTTTCCTATTGTATGATATCCTTCTGATACATATGTAGACAATTCCACTATTAAGAAGTTAGTTCCCCAAAAGTATAGGTATACGCTTCTGCTTCTGAATGTCACTGATCTTTTACTATTTATTTAAAGTATTTATGAATCACCCGTATTCATAGATTTCTAAGCGATTTAAATAAAATATAAAATAACTCGCATCATAAAATAAAACAGCAGAATATTAAAAGTGACTGGATAAAATTAACATTCTGGAAAGGCTGGCTGAAATATAGAAATGCTTTCGCAGCACGTCGAAATCTATACAACGCTGGCGTCTGCCTCATCTCCACTGGGAGAGTGTTCCATAATGCAGGGGCTACTGTGCTCAATGCTCTCTTCTGAGCAAGCTTAGAGAAATTTAATTTCTGGGGGCATTAGGCACCTGAAGAAGCTGGGCCTCTGATTATCTCAGGGATCTATGTGACCTACAGGGGGTGAGGTGCTCATTAATATACCACGGTACCAAGTTGTTCAGGGCTTTGTTCACTGGTACTAGCTTGAGGTGTGAGGAGGGTGAGGAGACTCCTCGTGGGCGATGGGTTGCGATGGGCTTGCTCGCAGGTGAGAGTGCGGAGCAGATGGGGCGGGGACTTGAAGTGGAATGCTGGGCAGCTGCGTCTGCAGAGAGAGCATCAGTGCAGCTCAAGAGCACATACCCAGCATGACCGGTGGGTATTTTGTGGTTTTGCTTGTTTTATATTTTAAATTGTTTTCTATTAGGGACATGGGTGGCGCTGTGGGTTAAAACACAGAGCCTAGGACTTGCCCATCAGATGGTTGGCGGTTCGAATCCCCACGACGGGGTGAGCTCCCGTTGCTTGGTCCCTGCTCCTGCCAACCTAGCAGTTCAAAAGCACATCAAAGTTCAAGTAGATAAATAGGTACCGCTCTGGTGGGGAGGCAAACGGCGTTTCTGTGCGCTGCTCTCGTTCGCCAGAAGCGGCTTAGACATGCTAGCCACATGACCCGGAAGCTGTACACCGGCTCCCTCGGCCAATAAAGCGAGATGAGCGCCGCAACCCCAGAGTCGGCCTCAACTGGACCTAATGGTCAGGGGTCCCTTTACCTTTTACCTTGTTTTATATTGTTTTGATTGATTGTATTTATTGCACTCTTATTGTATATCCTGGTCTGACAGCATACAGGCAGGCAATGCAGATCCTGCAGCAAGCTGTCAAAAACCTGCACCTGTCTGCAACTGAGCTGCAAAATTCTGTATTAGCTGGAGCTTCCAGGGCAGAGCAAAGGTAGCCCCACATAAAACAGACTGCAGTAATCAAGTCTAGAGACTACCCATAATCACCTGCTGCAGAATCTTGTACAGTTAGACTTTGTTTGAGGGGAGGGGCTTGGTAGCCGTATTTGCTTCCCATGTACAAATGATGTTGATAACACTGATCCTTTATCCTGTAAACTGCTACCTGTTCTTTCAATGCTTCTCAAACACGGGATAAAAGCATGATAAAATATTTAATAAAAACTGCATTTAAAAAGATGAATGTGACTACTGTTAATCCTAGACGGAATTTATGCCACTGCTGGTCTACTCATACAAAGCTGAAGGTTCCTGTTCAATGCTTCTAACTGGCCCTGTTCCTCCTCCCTTTCGACATAAGTCCTTTGTATAACAGCCACCATAGCATAGCCAATAACAATTGGTTCACTAGGAACTCATTAACTAGGGATGGGCAATATCTGGCTTTCAACGTCGTGATAGATCACCAGCTAAACATCACGATATACCGATATATCATATTGTCTGAAATAAGGATGGAGCTCAGTGGAGGCATTGGTTGGCTTCACGATTTTTCCCACTTGGTGATTTTTATATCACACACACACACACACACACACACACACACCATGATTTGTGATATATTGCCAGGTCAAAATTATGAAACTGATTTATGATATAACTTCTAACTGGTTTTGGACAATATAGCGATAGATTGCCCAGCCCTATCAATAATCTGTTTGTGCTACCTGACTGAAAAAAACATGAAAGGCTGATGGGCCTTTATTTATTTATTTTTCAGGTAGCATGAGGGGCTGGAAGTACTGAGGAGCATGGCCAATAGCTGCCTCTTCACAAATAAATAGCATGATTCATGTTGGTACGTGACTTGCTGTGGCGCAACATAATTTCTTTATGCCCCTTGACGGAAAAGCAAAGACCCCACAACACATTACTTTAAATACTATGGTGTCAACCTAGTGGCTCATAGGATTACCACTTAGTTGCATAAACCAGAACAATCGTCATACTAAAGTGATTTTCATCATGACCCAATGAACCAGAAATATTCTTTCACTTGCTGTGAGGAATGCTGTTATGTGAATATAGGAGTGTTACTGGGGAAATAAAGCTGTTTTTTGTTATTAAGAAAAAGGAAACACCAATTTTCCCTCAATGAATCCCTGTAAAACTGCTGAAAAACCTGCCCTTTAATTCTGCTGTCAATACAGATGTCATAAATTAAGGCTGAAGAAAACAACATGGCTCAATGTTCTCTTATTCTACTTTGCCAAT